TTACGTCCAGTTGGAGGAGATGGACCATAAGTAACAAATAGGTCAGGTGGCAGTAAACAGCTAAAAAGAAATATAAAACATTATAAGAGAGACAGAAGGACAAGGACATGGGCTTCTGGCTAAAAGGACAAGTTTGAGTGTCCACCTGCTTCCTTTAGGATCCTCACTAAGAATGATATTAAATTAAAAATTAACCCATAAATACCAGAGGGAAGGAGAAGAGACGAACCTACAGTGAAAGGAGGAGAAGTAACTGACCTGGCAGATCTGAGAGACGGAAAATGTAGTATATAGGGGAAATCTGGGCTTGCAGAGGGGAAATCTGGGCAGCAGTCCCTTAACTCCCTTTTCTTACTTCACATAACTGGTAACTTCTTCCAGCGATTAGACTCCGAAGAGGTTAAAACAGTGTCTGAGGTTCTAGGCACAGTTGAGGTGGTGTTGTGTTACTGAAATATGTAGGGTAGGTAAATGGAGATTTGTATATTGAATGTTGAGATAGCCTTATGCCCTTCCCCCAGCTACTTCTCCTCTTCATCACTTGGAATGCTGTCAGCCAGGCTCATGTACCTCCATGTATGAAGTTGGAAGAGTTGTCTATGGCTAACCTGACCAGCTCAAAAGAAAAGATTTAAACTCATAGGAGTTCTGTCATGCAAAGAAATAGCCTGATCATCCTAAAATAAAGCTCCAGATGAACTCACCTATGTCCACAGAGCTGGTCAGCAGCTCTTTAGTGCTGTCTTCTTCAGTGTGAGTGATGGACAAGCAAGGATGACCAGACTTTTGAGTAAAGCCTCAGTTGAAAAAGAAAAGACAAGAAGGAGGAAGAAAGGAAAAGAAACTTGGAGGAAACAAATTATGCAGGGAGAAGAAATTTTCAGAAACTATCATTAATTTCATAGAAATTGTGATATATTGAATGCATAAAAATAAGATACAATCAATAAGGAATTTTTAAAAGAAGCTCTTGGAAATTAAGAATATAGCAGAAATAAAATTCAATAAGAGGTTAAATGAAGTTGAAAAAGCTTCCTTAAAAGTAGAGCAAGAAGACATAGAGGTGGAAAATGGAAAAGAAAAGCTCTTCACCTTTTGTTAACATTTTGCCACTTTTGCTTTTTCTTGCTCCGTGTTTACATATAATAGTTTATTATTATTTTTATTATTATTATTACTATTATTATTATTTGAAAAGTTAAGTTGCAGACAACATAACCCTTCATTGCTAACCATTTCAGTGTCTGTCTCCCAAGAATCAGGATAGAATGACCAATTTTAGGAAATTTCACACCTATACAAAACTATTATGTAACATAGAGACCGTCATTAAATTTTACCAATTGTTACAATATTATCTTTGAAGCAGGACTCCTCTGCCCCATCCAGGGTCCAGTCCAGTCTCTAGTGTCCTCTCATCCAGAGCTGACCCTTTCTTTTTCCTAACTTTGATACTTTTGAAGAATTGTAAAGCCGCTTGTTTGTAGAATGTCCCAGGATTTGGGTTTGCCGATATTTCCCCATGATTAGATTCAGGTTGTGCATTTTTGGCCGGAACAGCACGGCACATTAGGAGTGATGTTGACTCTGATCACTTGGTATTTTCCCTTTGTAATTAGTAAGTAGTCTGTGGGGAGGTATTTTTAGACTGTGCGTTGATATTCTGTTCTCAACATATTTCCACCTGGTGGTTTGACATTTATTAGTCGTTAACTCTCAACCAAACTTCTTGTGAAGTTCCGTTGCAGGTCAACACCTCGATTGGCATAAGTAGATACCAGAGTTCTGTTTTGGCTGCCAATGAGAAACTTAGCATTGGGAAACACATTGATTTTTTATCAGAGAGGTGTTATTCTATTTGGAACAAAAATGTTCTTCCTGGGTTTAAAATCTGAAAGTCCGGATTCATTTATTCATTTGTTCAGTAAGTGTTGAGTGCTTACCGTATGTCAGGTACTATTCTGGTGCTGGGAATGAAACGATTAAAACATTTAAAAAGTTACACACAAAAAAAGTCCTTGTCCTCCTGGAAGGTACGTTCTAATGGAGGAATCAGGCAGTAAGTCTGTACTCTCTTGTCAAGTAGTAATGAGTGAAAGACAAAGATTAATGAGGTGAGGAGGGGTGCTTCTTGAGCCAGGGTTGTCCAAAAGCTCTGAGGAGCTGACCTTTGGGTAGAGACCTCAGTATCACAAGGGAGCATCCATGACTCAAGTGGGAGGCCTGCCTAGCAGTGGGAGCAGCTAGTGAAGAGGCCTAGAATTGGGCACATGCTTGATGTGAGTTTGTAGAAATGTAAGGAGATCATTGTGGCTGGAGCAGAGACATTAAGGGGGAGAACGGCAATAAACGAGGTTGGGGAGAGGTCTGGGCACAGTGATTGAGGCCTGTGTTGGCCATGATAGGGAGCCAGTAGACAGTCCAGTTTTGAGGGGATTAGTCCCACAGGCGGACATAGAACCCAGCCGGGCCCATCCCTGACACCAGCATGTCAAGGCCAGGCTTCTGGTGGTGGTGTGCCAAAGGCTGGCCCCAGGATTCATTGGCTGAATTGAGTGCAGCAGTGGGGTTTCTGCATCAAGGCAGGAAAATGTCTTTATTTATTCCCTGCTGCTGGGGAGAAGGCAGAAGCGGGTGTTCCAGTGAGGTGCCTGTTTCCCCAGCACTCTGGGTGGCTGGGGCGGACTTTGACAAGCTTTGGCAGACAGGGACATGCTTGGAGGCCTAACAGCTTTCTGATCTGGAGCGGCCAGGGAACCTCAGGCTATGAGCCCAGGATTGTGTGTCCATTGCCAACAGGGCTAGGCCGTTTTCCAACATCAGTTCTGCCTTTGTCCCCAGCCCATCTCCCCCCATGCTGAGGGAGTGCCATTTCTCATGGTTTTTCTCCCCATGGCCCAGCCCAGGCAACTCGAGTAACAGTAAACACAACAAGAATGAGAGCAGGGCATTTGAGTAGCACTTCCTGGTATATTGGTGGTGCGAGGGTCACTTTCTAAATGCTTCCCATCTCCTGCTCATTGACTCTGCACAACAGTCTAAGGTTGGCTACACAGCTACTAAGTGCAGAGCCAGGATTTGAACCCAGGCTGATTGCTGCCAGAATCTCTGTTCTTCTCTACCAAGCTGCACTGCAGATAGCATGAGATTCTCCTAGAGTCCACTGCCAGGACCATGGCAGTGCCATTCGACCTATTTCAGGCAGTCCAGTCCTATGACCCTGGGCTGTTACGAGAGTGGTGGGAAGGAGAAGCGAGGAACTACTTTTGCTCCTGCCTCCCTTTCAGAGTCCAACCCAGAGATTTTCTGGATGTGGGGTGATATTTATTTAGCTTCTCCAGGGGTCCAGATGACATGTGCTGTTGAACGTTAACAATTCTGTGGGGCAGATTTTATGACCACCCTTTAACAAATGAGGAAACTGAGACAGAGATTAAATAACACGCCTAAGGTCATATAGCCAGTAAGAGGAGAATCGCATGTCAGCTTGGGTCCCATGTCTTTGTGCTGTACTGTTTTGCCTGCCAGAACTGATGGATCGGAGGTCATGTGCTTGGTATAGCACCTGTGGATGTCTCTCTCCCCTGGGCTGTTAGAAGACAATATTGGGCTTTAGGAGGTATTGAAAGAGCACCAATTTCAGGGTGAAAAGACAACTTCCAGCTTGCCTCTGCCATACCTCACAGCTTGACTTTGGTTAAGTCTTGAATTGCAGTCAGCACTTTTTATTCACCGATAAAATGGAGATTAAAATCATTGACTTCCTCAGACCAAATACGAAGTATAGGTTGGTGGGTCTTAGCTGCATCTCGAGGTGTGTAGGCAAGTGTGAGAATTTGTCAGATGTTAAATGTGCCTGCAGGGCTTCTCTCTCGGTTTCCTCAGGTAAGCACAGCTGAAGCTAGAGTAAAGGAGTCAGGGAGGTCATGGGTTTTTTTGAGAAACATCCCAACTAATTTTAAAACACTATTTTCCTTCCCTGCCTATGTTGAAGCACTATATAGAAATGTTAAGAGTAGTGATAATAGTTGTAGTAGATGTTGTAAGAAATAGAGAAAAGGATTTAACCAAAAACAAGTGGTGTCGGACCAGGACCTTAGCTTAGTGTCTATTTAGGAAAAACTACACAACTTCCTTTTGGTGAAAACAGTAGTTTTCAACTGTGGGCAGTTTTATCCCCCGGGGGACATTTGGCAATGTCTGGAGACAGTTTTGGTCATCACAACTGGATGGAGGGCTTTTAGCATCCTGGTAGAAACCTAAGATGCTGTTAAATTAAACATCCTGCAATGCACAGGACAGCCCCTACAATAAAGAATTATATAGGCCCAAATGCTGGTGGTATCAAAGTTGAGAAACTCTGGATTAAAAATAGCCAGCACTTTTACATATATTTACTATGTGTCGGGAGTTGTTCTAAGTTCTTCACAGGTATTAACTCGCTTAATCCTCCCAACTCTATGAAATAGGAGCTATTATCCTCAGGTGACAGATGGGGAAGTAGGGACATGGGAGGTTAAATAACTGGACAGGGGCCTGGGTCCTGAGGAAGGGACAGACAGAGCCAGGCCTTGAACTTAGACAGTTGGGCTCCAGAGTCCTTGCCTTTAACCACTGTACTATTCTATACTGCTTTGCATTAAGGGGACTACTTGCCTTTAAACCAGATTTTTAGCTTTGGGTCCAGAAACCCACATACCTAGAAATTTGATATGTGAGAAGAGTCAGAAACCTTTCATTCCTGTGCCTAGAAAATAGAGGGGGAAGGGCTATGGGTAGGTTGGTGAGTTTTCCAGATTCTAAGTGTGGCCCAGCTCATGAATTTAGTGGCATGAGGCACCTGGTGGGAATGGATCAACCTTTTGTTTGCTTTGTCAGGGAATCAGAGGTGGGGGCGGGGGGTGGGTTGTCTCTTTTCTGTGGTAGGGACCAGAGTGTGACGGGACTGTGCAGAGAGTGGGCCTAACTCCATAGTCCTGGGCTGTGTTGTATCATTGCAGATATAAAGACAACTGTGGTTTACCCGGCCACAGAGAAGCATCTGCAGAAGTACCTGCGCCAGGACCTCTGCCTGGTTCGAGAGACAGGAGGCGATTATAGGAACATCACCTTACCCTACTTGGAGTCCCAGAGCCTCAGCATCCAGGTGACTTGCCACTGCATCTTGGACTGGCCCAGAGGGGTCAGATATGGAGTGATATCCCCATGGCCAGTGTGTCTTAGGCGTTTGTCATGGTCTTACCTGGGGCCAACACTGTTCCACAGCACAAGCTGTGGAGTTATGTCAGAGAGCACAGTGGAGTACGGACTTACTTTATGGAGCTTACTTCCTTGCAGGAGTCAGACAGCACACAGATATATAAGTGACCATATGAGATGTGAGGCCATGAGTGCTGTGAAGAAAAATAAGCAGGAAAGTGGCATAGAAAGTCCTGGGGTATAGTGGTCACTGTTTTACATAGGGCAGTCATTGATAAGGGAATTGAGCCTGGTCTCGGGCATGTCCCTGGGGCTCCCTGGGGATCTCAAAGCAGCCTTGTTCATTGGAAGAATCTGTGTCTACCCTATAATAGCCCTGATACAGTCTCAGAGTGGCTGTGCTCTCACCAGGGGTCTGTGAATGGGTAAGGACTGATGCCTGGTTAAGCCTGCTCCAGTCCAGACTTTTATTCCTGATTTTGCCTGCAGCAAACCAGCCTGCAGAAGTGGAGTCTTAGAGTAAAAGAACTTGCCCTTGCTTGTTTCATAGAAGGCAGGTCTCTCTTATCCCTGGGGACTTAGTACAGGCCTCCTCCCAAGGGCTATGTTCAGGAGTTGGCAGCATCTTCTGAGTGTCTTTAGCCAGTGGACCAGATGCAGGCCATTTAGCCAAGTGATCCTGATTTCTCCTTGGGCCTAGGCTCAGCACCAACCAGAGCCTCTGCCCTGTGTAAACGCTCTGAGTTAAATATGACGAATGAGTTATTTTCTTGCTCACTCACTGGCTCTCACTGTCTCCATGTCTTTATCACTCACTCTAATTCTCTTTGAGTATTTTTCACTTACTTTCCCCAAAATTCAGGTTATGGTGTTGGAGGGTGTTCTAATAGGAGAAACTCATAGCCATTTCTCCCATGCACAGAAGAAGGGTGTAGGGGCACTGGGATGAATACAGTCAGGGAGAGGAAGGAAAGGGAGGTTGGCAGGATGGGTGGGAGGCCCTGTGTGCCCACAGCTGTCTTTCCCAGCCTATTAGCCATGGTCTCCCTGTGCAGTGTTTGCACAAGATTCCTCTGGCTCAAGCTGACTTTTTCTTTTTTTTTCCTTTTCTTTCTTTTTTTTTTAAAGTTCCAGTACTTGCTCTGTCTCTTAAGTGGAAAGGAGCTATGTCTTCATCTTCCTAGATAGCTTCTGCTGTCAAGATCTTAGAGGGAGCTCCTGGAATATATGTTCTGCTGCATTGGTTGCACATATATGAGATTCAAGAGAGGAAGACTTTAGCATAATCAGTGTGAGTCGTATGTGTACCTTATGCTATTACACAGCCTGGGGCTCCCTGGGGATCTCAAAGCAGCCTTGTTCATTGGAAGAATCTGTGTCTACTCTATAATAGCCCTGATACAGTCTCAGAGTGGCTGTGCTCTCACCAGGGGTCTGTGAATGGGTAAGGACTGATGCCTGGTTAAGCCTGCTCCAGTCCAGACTTTTATTCCTGATTTTGCCTGCAGCAAACCAGCCTGCAGAAGTGGAGTCTTAGAGTAAAAGAACTTGCCCTTGCTTGTTTCATAGAAGGCAGGTCTCTCTTATCCCTGGGGACTTAGTACAGGCCTCCTCCCAAGGGCTATGTTCAGGAGTTGGCAGCATCTTCTGAGTGTCTTTAGCCAGTGGACCAGATGCAGGCCATTTAGCCAAGTGATCCTGATTTCTCCTTGGGCCTAGGCTCAGCACCAACCAGAGCCTCTGCCCTGTGTAAACGCTCTGAGTTAAATATGACGAATGAGTTATTTTCTTGCTCACTCACTGGCTCTCACTGTCTCCATGTCTTTATCACTCACTCTAATTCTCTTTGAGTATTTTTCACTTACTTTCCCCAAAATTCAGGTTATGGTGTTGGAGGGTGTTCTAATAGGAGAAACTCATAGCCATTTCTCCCATGCACAGAAGAAGGGTGTAGGGGCACTGGGATGAATACAGTCAGGGAGAGGAAGGAAAGGGAGGTTGGCAGGATGGGTGGGAGGCCCTGTGTGCCCACAGCTGTCTTTCCCAGCCTATTAGCCATGGTCTCCCTGTGCAGTGTTTGCACAAGATTCCTCTGGCTCAAGCTGACTTTTTCTTTTTTTTTCCTTTTCTTTCTTTTTTTTTAAAGTTCCAGTACTTGCTCTGTCTCTTAAGTGGAAAGGAGCTATGTCTTCATCTTCCTAGATAGCTTCTGCTGTCAAGATCTTAGAGGGAGCTCCTGGAATATATGTTCTGCTGCATTGGTTGCACATATATGAGATTCAAGAGAGGAAGACTTTAGCATAATCAGTGTGAGTCGTATGTGTACCTTATGCACTATTACACAGATCTCTTGGAACATGATACAACAGCATTCTACTCTACCATCTTCTCTTTGCACAAGCATTTATATATTCTTTCTTGGCTATTTCTGAGAGGTTTACTAGCACTCAGCGTAACTAGTAACAGTCATAAGATTTATTGAGCATCGACTATGTACCAGGCCCCATGCTAGGCTCTGGTGAGTCACCAAGGTAAACATTGGCAATACCCCATAGTCTTATAGGAAGATAGACCGTGTAGTTTGACAACTGCATTATAACGAGTTAAGCACTTTGATGGTTTACGTATGAGATGCAGTGGTCACACAGAGGGAAGGTGATCAGCTCAGACATTGGGGAGCTTCACAGAGGAGGGGATCCTCCAGTTGGGTCTTAACGGACAAATAGAAGTTTACCAGGTGGACAAGGCATATAAGGCATTCCAGGTGCAGGGACGAGCAAGTATAGAAGCACAGAGGGCTAGGGAGTTGGAGAGTCAGCAGGAGACAACAGGAGAAGGCAGGCAGGGGCCAGGAAGGAGGCATGGTCAATTTGTCCAAGAGACCAGGAGTTCCCATACCTTGTTCATCCTTGGGATTGTCTGGTGAGATTTTAAAAAATACAGAGCCTGAGGTCTTACTGTTGAATCAGAATGCTCAGGGAGTTAAGCTGGGAAATCTGTATTTTAAAAAAGATGTCTGTTTCTAATGGTCATCAGATTTGAGAATGATTGCTATAGGCAATGGGGTCCCCTACACAGTTTTAAGCATGTGGGTAACATGAACAGATTTAAAGAATTAGTTGGAGTATGGTGAGAGTGTAAGCAGGAAGACTGTAAAACCCAGCATGGGTTTGAACTGAGGCAGATGGGAAGGCTTTAGTAGTGATTTAAGAGGTAGAGCTTAGGAACTGGTTGATATGGAGAGGTGTGGGAAAAGCCTGGGACGGCTCCAGGTCTAGCCTGGGCACTGAGTAGACAGTAGGATCGTTAACTAGGACGGGGCGGAGGGGTGGGGACGTGGACAGTGGAGAGGGCTTATATGGAAGACAGCAAGTTCAGCTTGGGACTCGCTGAGCCCTCATTAGATGCCAGGAACTGTTCTAAGCATTTTATGTGCATCACCTCATCAAATCTTCACAACAGACCATCAAAGATGGGATTCAAAGCCAGGCGGTCTGACTCCAACGTCAATGCTCTTAGCCCACTACCCTATTCGGCTCCTCTAATTTGGTACTTGTAACTTCCAGTAAAAATGACCAGTAAAAAAGTGCAGTGAGATGTCTGATTCTAGAGCACGAGAGATCATCAGGCTAAAAATGCCAGTTGGTGAGTCATTGAGTCAAGGCTTCAGTGTCAGGCAAGTTTGGGTTTTCATTCTGCTGTCTCAGAGCAGTGTGATACTGTCCTTCACTTCTGAAACCCAGTTTCCTTGACTGGAAAATGCAACTCATGGCCTGGTGGAAACTGAGAGAGGTGCCGTGTATCATGTGCCTGCTGCTGTTTGCAGCACAGAAAAGGCACCAGAGTGGTAGCTACTGTTGCGTACACACAAGTGTCAGTTCTAGGGAACAGGATGGGAAAGTGCAGAGCTGAGACACCTGGAGGTATGAGCAGGTAAAGGGTGGCCAGAGGGCAAGCAGGCAGGTAAGAAAAGAAGCAGGAGGAAGAAGAGGGAGGAGTTACCAGTGTCACTTACTGCTAGGAGGCCATTCCAGATCCAATCTAGAAGCTGTCAGTGCCCACCCACAGCCCATCATTGTCAGGTGGCTGAGTCTTCCAGGCTTGCTTTCAGATGGTGTCACTCCTTGTTACGTAACCCTCTAGGAATTGTGTGAATTTTGTTCCCTGGGTCCCCTCCCTTTCTCATCTGGGATTCTGGCCTGAGACTGACTTCATGTGGATTTAGGTCCCTCCTGCTCTCCCTGAGACTTTCCCAGTGTGGTCTGGAGCATGGGCTCTGGGACCAGGCTCTGGGTTGGAGTTGTGTGAACTTCCTTGACCCTGCTTTTCCCTTACCTGCAAAACGGGGTGCTCACAGCCCCAGCTTCCTAGGATTGCTGTGAGGGTGATCCCTGTGAGGCACTAGAACAGGGCCTGGCACGTAGTAAGATTGCACTCATCACACCACACCTGCCTGGTGCCACTTGCCACTCCAGCCTCGCACTTGCTTCTCTCTTGCCCTTCGATCAGCGCCATCTCCTTTGCTCTCATCCTCTCTCTTTTCCTTTCCTCAGTCCAGCTTGTAGCCTTTAGCACATTGCCCATTGCAATCATCCCAGGCACTGGCCAAACACTACCTCACGTTGGAGCTTTCCAAGCTCTGTCCTCTGTTTTTAGGGTACCCGCTATGAACTGGGTGCTTCCACATGCATTTGCTCACTTACAGTTCTCACCTCAACCCTAATATGTAGATATCATTAGTCTCATTTTACAAAAGGCTTAGAGAAATTAGGTCACTTACCCAGGGTGATAGCTAGTTAGGTGGGGGATGAACTCAGTCTTGTGGGAGCTGCTCAGCTGTGGGCAAATACAGGGCTCCGGGCGCCTGCTTGTGAGCTGGGCCCACCAGGGCTCTCCATATGGTCACCCCCCACCTCCTGCCTCTTTATTTTTGGGGTGCTGTGGGTCAGGTCTGGCTGGCTTTTTTCTCTGGCGGCACGTTCCAGTCAGGCAGGAAATGCCTCTCTGGGAGCTCTCAGCACGCTGGACTGGGCAGTGTTCTGGCCCAGGACTGCACAGTGAAGTCTGCTGGGGTTCTTGTAGGGGCTAAAATATATGTAATACTTTCCTCTGAGTTCTTTGAGCTGGGCTAGTAATCAAGTTAAAAAGACAGATTAACAGGAGAAAATCCAATTTTTATGCATGCGCATGGGCAATTCACAAGTTTGCAAAGGGCACTCAGAGTTTGAAGGAAGTGAAGAACTGAGGTCTGAGATCCATGGGTTCGAGCCTGTAGAACAGGGGCTTTATCTTAACCTCCCTGCAGGAGGCTTCTCTGGAGAGACCACCAGGACCTTAATTGTAAAGTGACATCTGCACAGTACCCAAGGATGAGGTCATTGAAGACTGTGATAGCTGCAAATCAAACGGTGTGAGGGAGGGCCGGAAGCCCTGGGTTGACAAGAAAGGTCTCTATGTGGATTTCAGGTCAGCTTTGTCATACAGGGTCCATGTCAGCTGAGACTGCTGTGGCTCCAGATGGGCAGAGGTATTCATCCCACCACCATGAAAATCTTGAGGCGGGAATCCCACACATTTATTTCTGGAACCAAAGCCTTTGCCTGCCCTGGCATGGAGGCAGCTTCCTCTGTAGAGGAACTCCCAACCTGACTCTTTGCCATGGTCCTGAATAAAGTGGGACAGGGCCCACAGAGACAGCTTTCCCCTAGTCTTGTGGTCAGTGAAGGGGGTTCATGCAGACCAGGTCTGTGAGGCTGCAGCAGTGTGTGCCCACTTAGAACCCGGAAGAACCTAAAGAGCCAGCCCCATCTGCACAGTGGTGGACCATGTAGGGATGGCTGGTGACCGAGTGTCAGCAATAGTTGGGGAGGAAAGATCTCTTCTGGACCCCTGAGAGCAGATGCTGGGAGACGGGACAGCCTGAGTTTAGATCCCCAGAGCTCAGTGGCTGGCCTTCCTGGAGGGATCAGGTTGCTTCCCTGATCAGGTCGCTCAGTCTGAGGCATCTCCCCAGGGGTGGTGACTGGATATGGACCCCTATTTCTCCCTTTCCTTCCAGTGGGTGTACAACATTCTCGACAAGAAGGCTGAAGCTGACCGGATTGTTTTCGAGAACCCAGATCCCTCTGATGGCTTTGTCCTCATTCCCGACCTCAAGTGGAACCAACAGCAGGTAAAAGATTTCTTGCTGGGGTTCTCGGAGTACCCTGCTCCATGTTGCTGGTCGGCCCTAATCCTGCCCTTCTCACGTTGCTCTCTAAGCAGATTATAATTAACCAACAAGGAGAGGTCTGAGCTCTGAGGTGAGAGTGCACACCTGTCATACACAAATGTTTACACTTAAATGGGTCAGTTTAAAGCCCTTCCTATCTCTCTTTCACCCCCCAGGGGAGGGGGAGGGGGAGAATGAGGTGATTTTGTGTAACCACATGGGCTATTCTTTAACCAGCCAAGTGGCTTGGGAGGCCACTGTCACTACCTGGAGCCCTGGGGCAGACCATTTGCATCTCTCCTTCTCTTTGGACACCAACAGATCCAGGCAGGCCCATGGTCTAAAGTACTGGTAGGCAGGAACCCTCGTGGCAGAGGAGGTCTCCTGACAGCCTCACCTCCACCTAGGCCTCTCAGCTTTGTTTCCTAGTCTCCTCCCCACCCCACTCCCACTTCTCACCTTTTAAAGAGCTGGTTTCCAAGGGAGCCACCTTCATTCACACTGTCTGGTTCTCTGTAACCTCTCTATCTCTCCACCTTCTTTCCTCCCATCCTTGCTCCCCTACACTGTCCCACCACCAGTCACAATGTACCATTGTCTGTGTGGGTAGACTTTCATACCCGGACAGTAACAGAACAGTCAGAGCAGTATGTTGTTAGAGGAAGTGCTGTTCCCACTGCAGGCTGGAATTGGGCCAGACTCAGCTTGCAGCAGGTCAGGGGGCCAGGAGAAGGTTGAGGAAGCCAGATTGCAGGATTGCTGGGTAGGAAAGGGGGAGTAGATAAATGGCCGCCCCTCCTTTGACTAGAATCTTTGAGTAATTCAAGCTCAGGTTTCCATTCTGTGTTTGGGTGGAAACTTCTGGTTTCTGTGTTTCTCACACAGTTGCAAGACTCTCACAAAAAGATGTCATTTGGAGTCTGGGCCCTGTCCACCTCTCTGTGGGTGCCTTCCCTCTTGCCTTCTCAGCTGTGGCCTGCACATTAGGCCTTTGGGTTTTAACCGAGCTCACCTGCAGTTTGCTTGGTTGTGATTTGGTGATTTCTAGACCTGCCACGGTACTCTTTCGCTGCCAAAAAAGAAGGGCTGGGAGCCTGTGGTTGGGGTAAAGGGCTAGCATTTTAACTCAGAGGCACACAGAATAGTGAGTGCCAACTGTCTCTTATAGGAGGCTTGTGGGAATTCCTGAACATGGCTCCAGGTGTGGTAGGGAGTTTCCAGAAGTTGGAGCACTGTGATGATTTCTTAGATCCAGGTAAGATCTAAGAAGATGGCTCTCCACATGTGGGTTGTTGTAGTGGAGAGAGGCTGAGAAAATACCTATAGCTTATTCCTGCCTCAACCTCCACAGGTGAAGCCAGGACTTGCTCCGGAGATGTTGGGGGAGCTGGGACAAGGCCATACAAGTACTGGTGGTAGCTCTAGGCAATGCCTTTGTGTAGCTCTGTAAACCCCATCTGTCCCCTTGGCAGCCCTGCGCCGAGAGGTCCTGGATTACACACTGGGTCACGGGAGGTAGGGGTAGGGTAGAAGGAACTTCTGACTCACAGGATCCTTGAACACTGAAGAGCTTGTGATTTGCAGGGGAATGGTCTGAGAGCTATGCAGGGACAACAAAAGATAGATTTGTGTATCTCCATTCAAGAAGTCCCAAACACTTAAGTCCATAGCACAGAGAACGGAAATCATTGTCCTTCTGACCTGGTGCTGGCAGGCATCCTGCCTAGCCTGCCAATGAAACTGCTCTCTCTCTGTTCCATTTAAGACAGAAAAGGCTTCAGGAAAGGCCCTGGCCTCTCAGCCACATGGCTGGACTCGTGCTCAGGGGTTGTGAATGGGCAAGCTTAAATGTCAGACTTTCCTTGATGGCGATATAGGTGCCATCATACTTAACGTTTGCTTAATTAGCGCTTGTCTCTTGGTAGTGCCATATGTCAGTGTCTCAAATCCCTGACCTGTGAAGAACACTAAAATCAACACCTCCTGAGAATTAGTCAGTCTGTCCAGCAGGAAGACAGGCCAGGCTGGACTTCTGGTTTTTGTCCTTGCACCAGGGGAGAGTGAAGGAGAGAGGTGTGCTGGTATTTTCTTTGAGGAGTCTTTCTAGTCACCTGGAATCTCCACCTACTGCCAATTCTCCTAGAAGGCTTTACATATATTTATGTAGCCCTCCAACTGATGGCTTGGGATTAGAGAGACTCTTTGTCCATATGTCCATCCAGCCATACATCCATCCCTTCCGCAAGTATTTATCAAGTCCCTAATGTTTGCTAGATGCTTTGCCTTCCTGAAGATTATAACATCCCTTTCTTGGTTCTCTTAAGAGATAACCTTTATCTTTTATTAGCTTATTTTTTTGTAAGTCTGATTAATATATGCATATGGTAAAAATGCAAATAGTATAAAGAGTGTGCAGTGAAAGTTAACTTTCCTCACCCCATATTGCTCCATTTCACTTCCCCAGAAGAGGTTATTTTTTGTCTCTCCTTCCAGAGATAGTTTTTGTGTATTGTATATATAAGCATATATGTTTGTGTTTATATGGACACACGTACACTTTCAGTTCATATGATTTAGGTTCTTTGGTCTTAGGCTCTCAGGCCAGGAAACTCTCTCCTTGAGTCACTCCAGAGATGGCTCTCCAAAGCTCCAGCCATTCTATCTTGGCCCTTGCCAGGAAGCTGTTACTCTGATTTCACTGTCCTGCCTTGTAAAAAGAGATTGACAGTGTCTTCTCCCACAGCGATTGATGGGCCACCTTCTGGGGTACGATCTGAGACCCTCACTAGGCCTTTGTCTAACTTTTTTCAGATCATTTCTCTTGGCCAGGGGCCCTTTGGCTCTCTGCAGAAAATCTGGGGTAATGTGTGATACCAAAGAATGGATTTCTTTTCCCTCCTTCACCTAGCCCGTGAGCTGACACACTCAGCACCAGGTTTCATGCCTCATTCCATGCCAGTGGAGCAGAGAGGTGTGATTTAATGTCATGTTTGAGATTTGTCAACAGACATTATCTAAAACAAATGCTACCAGGATTTGGGATTCCTGTGAAAGTGGCACATGGAAAAGCTGAAGACACCCACAGGCACACACATGCACACCTCAGGTTTGAACAGTTTTGTTTCCTGGCTTCTCTTTGGGCCCCTAGCTAGTGAGAGAGTAAATGTCCTAGACACGTGTCATGAGAAGGGAGAGCACAGAAGGGACTTGTGGGTACAACTGAGGCCTGGATACGCACAGCTTTGTCATCTGCCAGGACGTTCCCAGTGGGCTCATCTGTATCAGGTCTGGGGCAGAGAGCCCAGATCCTTGGAGCTCTGGCAGAGAAGAGTGTTAGTGTCTAGAAGAGACTGTGTTGCCATGAAGAGGCATAGCTGGACATCAGGTACCACGTGGAAAATCTCATTCTCACTTTTTAAATCGGAGTCCTTGGGGATTTGGTTGGGTGACTCACGGTTCCCAAATTATCTCCTTGGGGAATCAAGCAGCTCAGACTGCAGGGTTGGGTGTCTTCCCACACCATGAAGCCCTGGTGTCTGGGGCCTGCCTTGCACATGGACGTGATAAGTAGCCAAAGCCAGGTTCTATGAGC